GGAGAATGTTACAGTCAAAGCATGGAAACTGAAAAAGAGGAACAAGAGAATGTCTCTGTTATCAAGAATAATTTCACTCCTTTCAACAATCCTAACCTGGAATGATCAGGTGTTATAAGCAAGGCTATTAATTTTTTCTCTCCAAAACCTTGTCGCTTTAGCCGTCCATCCAGATGTGTTTCAAAATGAGTTAAAATTCCAAAAATGCTGATGCTAAAAAGGCTCTTGTGCTGGACGCCAAGAGGGACAAGAGTCTGTAGTCGAAGAAAGTGGAGTCCGAATTTGGGACATCTGTTGGAGCATCTAGGACAAGGAAAAAATCTGTGACGAAGATGAAGTCTTTGAAGAAAAGTCATGCTCAAGTGCATGACTCTGACGAGAATGGTCATGAAGACTGGGTTAATTTCATTAACTTAGGTGGTTGGAATGGATAACTGGCTTTATTGATGAAGTTTTTGTTGTGTTTTGTTGTATTTTTGTTTGTGTTATAATAATTTCCCAACACTATTTGCTTCCATTAGAACTGTTTGTAGCTTTTGCTACTGCATGTTTCCATTTCTGCCTGTTTACATTTACTTTGTGTTTTTTTGGGTCAATTTTTGGCTAAAAAGGGGGAGTAAAGTGTTACTATGTTTATTATTTCTGATGTTGGATAAGATGTCATGACTTCATCTCAAGTGTTTTACTACTGCTTAGGAAGAGTAGTTTTCATTGTTTTTGCTTGTTATATGCAACTTTTTAAGGGGAGCATGATAGTCTGCCATGCGTGTTGTTGCTGCTACTGATGTGGAACCATATGCAACTTTTTAGGGGAAGTTGCTTATGCTGCTGTCACTGAATGGGTGTATGTGGGCAATGTTGTGGTACAAGTTCTGACATGTTATGGTTATGAAGAACATTGGATGCTCTATGGTAATCTATTACTCGGATGTTCTAAGTTATATGTGTGGCTTCTGTTGTATGTGTTTCTAATGTGTGAACTTGGATAATTAATATTTGTATGCCAGGTGATTTAAGTTTTCCCCTTGAGAAGGATGTGTGAACTAAGGCAGTTGAAGTTTGGATTTTAGGTGATTTGGGTTTTCAACTTAAGAGGGATGTGTGAACTAAGGAAGTTGATGTTTGGGTCTTAGGTGATTTGGATTTTCCTCTTCAGAAAAGTATTGATTATACGTGACAGGGGGAGTAATGAAACTGCATGAGGTTTCTGCCGTGTTGATGTGATGTTAGACCTCTTGTCATGACATCTGAACTCTAGAGATTTTTGGAGTTTGAAGGGGTTGTAATCTCTAATGATCTGTAACTGTACTTTATCTCTGATATTCTTATGATTACAAGTTGTGCAAAATTTACATGAAGCTTGGGTCTTATTCTTTGTGATTTTATTCCTCTCTCCAGCAAAGGATGTTTTAGTCAAAATTTGCCAAAGAGGGAGATTGTAAGTTCCGTGGTTTTTAGATTGACAACATTTTGGTAAAACATGCTGCCAGCAAGATGTTAGGCCAGATGTTTTGTCATGACAGTCAGACATCATGTTCAGTATGATGTTGGGACATGTGCCAGACATGTTATACCAGAAAGGTAGGGCATGACAGTTTTGGTATTTTTAGTGTGACTTTTTGTGTGTTTTAATTCACACGTGTGAATTATCCAAGGGAGGATATTGTGGGAAATTATTTTTTGACAAATTATGATGGTTTTCTTAAAAAGGTCATTGAGGTTTTTTTAGGAAACTTTGTATATTATTCCTACTTTTGTGCAGGAGATTATGATTATGATTCCAAGTTGATTCCTGATGAATTGCGCTTCAAGAGCCCAATCCCACGAGGTCTAAAGACTATTTAAAAAAGACCTAAACCTAATGTATTTCACGACTTTCACTTTTGTAAAAACTAGGGGAGGTTTTAGAGTCTTATTTTTTGAGAGTTTTATTTGTGTGACGTTGTAAGTCCCCCATGTATCTTTTGATACATTGAGGTACACTGATTGTATGTTGTTAATTTTTCACTCTAAAGGTTTTAAGCAAGAATGTATTATTCTTTGGTTGAAGCTTTTAAGTAAAACCAAGTATTGTCTTGGAAGTGTGATACTTCTATTGTTAGTTGTTGTCGAATTGTCACTGGGACTGTGACTGATTAGGAAGTGAGAGGGGAGTTTCATATCTAGAAGATTCCTAGGTAAAGTTTTCACAAGGTAGGGATTAGGCGAGAAGTTGTAAACCGGAGAGTTTAGCTTTGAACTAATAGTATCATAGTGAATTTCCTTCCTGGCTTGGATGCCCCCAGATGTAGGTGATGTTGCGCCAAACTAGGTTACCAATTGACTGTGTTATTTATCTTTCTGCATTTTATTTTCCAACCTATGTTATTTATTTTGTAAGATAGAAGATTTTGTAAGATCTGTCTTGACATTATGTTCTGATGTGAGAACATCAATATCAACATGTGGTAGAGTGCCAGAATTTCACCTAGGGCATGCGTGGAAAAGAAGCTGCATTGGAAAAGAATATATGTTTAAGTGTTGGTGGAATTCCCTTGAGCTAAATGGATAAGACTCATGGCGCTAAAAGATAAAAGAGGGTACAATAGTATGTCCTCAAAGGAGTGCACCATGTAGAAAGAATAGTGCCGACTGCACCTCAGCCACTGCAGACAGTCACATTACACCTTGTCCCCCGCTACTGTCCCTGTACGTGATTTATTGTAAACGAAATTGAAGGAAATAAGAGAATATGCTGATTTGGTATTAGGCTTGATGTGATCCTTAAAGGGCCCATGATCCAAGACAAAGGAAAAGAAACCCTATATGAAGGCTTATAAATAGACATTATTGAAGTTTGCTAAAAGAGTTCATCACCTTAGAGAAATTCATAGAGAAGATTATTACAAGGTATAGTGGAGAGAAAGGAGAGCTTATTTTTCTCACCCTTTCTAGTGTTAACTGCTGAAGCCTGGTGCGATGAGAGTCTTCGCTTGTTGATTATCCATCACAAGGAAGTTTCATATTACTCTTAGGTTGCCATTTCTCTTTCATATTTTGCTTACGAATGTTTACTTTCATAACCAACTTTGTAACTTATACTTAACTCATTATGAGTTAAACTCTTTGTTTATAGAGCAATGAGAAGTTAATATGAATTTGTTCTTATGTTAAAATGGTGTGTTGCTAGTGCCTTGTTTTATTATGTGTTAACATATTTAAATGTAATTCTTTGAATGATAAACTTAGTAAAAGATAAAAGCTTGTTGTTGTGAGAGATCCAACATCAAGTGGATTTCATGATAAAAGTAGTTGCACAAGTAGTATGGAGATATTCACTCATTTAGTTTGCTTAGAGATAAGAAACTACAACTATAAAGGAATTTTAGGAGATAAACAAATGTATCCTAGGGTTATAAGTGTGATTTAAAGATTTTTTCCCTTGCCTTAGTATGCATGCTTTTGATGTTGTAGAAATACAACTCTTAGTTACTTCCATGTTCTATTGGTAACTCTCTAGAGGAGCATCGACATTGACTTCCTTTTGGGCTTTAGGGGCTTTAGAGACTTCATGTTCTATTGCATCATCTAGTGACTCATGTCCCCGTGAACTAAATGCCCGAGAGAGGCGACTGCGATAGCCCAATGGTTGGGAACCTCGATAGTGCGAACCATCAAACGAGTTATCATCAACTTGTGGTCTCGTGGTTCTGGACGCGACCCTTTCACGTCATACCGACCCGGTTTGGGACACACGACTGAGCCTAATTTTTCCAGGGTTGTTTTCAGCCAACACATTTGTGTTACAAATATACATAGAGAAAAACAACTCAAAGCAAAATCATAATTTTCATAAAATTAACCAAATTTCAGTCTGAGTTAAATCCAGAGACGCATCTCGGAAAACATTTCAGAGCAAACCAGAAGATACATCTCCAGACAAACATGTGATTCTCTTCCATGGTAGAAACGTCATTTCTGCCATAACCCTCCAAAAATATCTGAATGCATGTTCTTGTAGACTACTAATTTCAATTAAATTATTATCTTTTTTTAGAGGAAAAATAAATATTTATATAAAACAAAAAGACAAAAATTGGGGGGGGGGGGACCCAACAATACAACATCGAGAGTCTAATGGCATAAGGATTGCCAAGCAGAAAGCTAAAAATATGAAAGACGAAAAAATTGAAAAAAAGGAACACCCAAAAAAGAAGCAAAACTCCTACAAGGGACGCAAACCATGAAGAATCAACCAACAAACCGCCAACTAGAGCTTTGATTTCCAGATCCACCATTGACAGACAAAAAAAACCACTAGCAACACCAAAACCATTGATCCTTCTAGAGAATGTCAGAACTCTTGATATACTATTTGGTAAGACACATGATATGATTCTGAAGCCAGCTGGAGAAGGAGGGTGAAGTCGATGATGATCTATTAAGAAACCAAGTCCAAACCATAAAAATACTCTTATCAACCACCTCTTTCACATTTGTTGACGATCTGGTAAACAACTTATTGTTACACACCAACCAGGTAGTCCACACCACTTCATGCCAAATCATGACAAAAATTCCCATAGACTTATCCATACCACCTAACAAAATAAAAAATAAAAAAGAAGTCCTAACTCCTTAGGAATAGCCAAATGCATCCCTAACCACCCAAAAATCCTATACCAAACACTTGAAGCTATGTTACAAGTGACTAATAAATTAGAGGCTATTTCAATCCAATCCCCACAAAAGATACAAGATATACCCTCCGGGTCGATAATGACCTTTCGTTTTAGCAAATTTTCCTTAGTAGGAATTTTCTCTTGCAGAAGTTGGTAAGAGAAAACCGCCACCTTAAAGGGAGCCCAACTATTCCAAATAAGAGGAATCAATGGATTTTCCCTAGATAGAGTATCCTCAGGTGAAGGGCAAAGGCCATCAATAATTTGATAAGCTGACGCCACCGAGAACAAGTCATCTCTAGTATGTCTCCACACCCACCTATCATTCTCCTCACTAAACTAACTTCTGCAAGATCGAGAAAAAAAATCAGAGACCATAGATTCCTCATAGACGAAGAACGGTCTCCTCCAACCAAGGTTCCAAGAAATCCTCCCATCTACCCAGCTACCAATTTCACCCACAATGTCATCCTGTCTTTGGAAGATGGGGAAGAGTCTCTGAAACCTAGTCTTAAGGGGTATACTCCCTATCCAATGGTCTTTCCAAAATGATGCCTGAAGGCATGTCTCAACCTTCTTAACAAGCCCAAACTCAAACCAATTAGGAGGATCGTCCTTTATAGATCTAAAGAGGGACATTCCTTCTTACCAAGAAGAGATGAAGCGAGATCCCAAAGATCGACCCTGCATAAGGAAGTGACAATAAAGTGATTGTACCTGGAAGAAAGAATATAGAAGCAAAGACCAGAAGCACCCATCAGAAGTCTCCATCTCCATTTAGCTAACAAAGTTATATTACCTTCTAAAGATCTCTAACACCTAAACCTCTAAATTTCTTAGGTTTACACATATCAAACCATTTAACCCATGAGCTCTTGGAATTTCCTTTCACACCATCTCATAGAAACCTCTTATGGATCCTCACTAATCTCTTCCACACTTTCACATAAATTTTTAAAAAGGAGAGAATGAACACAAGAATAACATTGAAGACCGAATTTAGAAGAATGACTCTTCCCCAAGACATACATACTTATGACTCAAAGAGTGAAAACTCTTCCAAATTAGATTAACTAGAGGTTTTCAAGTAGACTCCAATCGAGGGTTGGTACATAAACTACTATCTAATGTACTTAAAACAACTAATATAGCCTAAACAATTAACCAAAAAAAAAGTGATAAAATTTTGAAATACTTACCTAATCAAAATAATGGGAAGTATCTTGAATGTACGAGATGATGGAAAGGAGGAGAAACTTGAATGTTACAGAGCTTTAATTATAGAAGCTTGAATGAATGGTTGAGAAGTTTAAATGTTGCAAAGCTCAAATAATTTGTTTTGAAAACTTTTTAAAAAATGAAAAAGAAAGAAGAGAGAAAGTCTGACACGACATATAAAACAAAAGTTCGAAAATACATTTTCCAATCACTCACTAATTTTTGAATAAATAATATATATATAAATACATCTACGAAGGTATCTTTTATTTATACATAGATAAATTTCTAAATTAAATTTTAGTAGATAATTTAAAAAAATACATTCGATGTATCCCAAATTCTATATATTATTTTTAATTTTCATAGGGAAACACACGGTGGAGAGCGCCCCATAAAAAAACAACGCGGGAATTTCTGAATGATTCTCCGTTCGTTCCATCATCCAATTAATCATCAGTTTCTTAAAAAGAAAGAAATAACAGCAAGTGTCTATCCAATGAGTCGGCAGAGTAAGATCTCTCAACCTCCACAGTTACTACACGTACTCTCCACCGCTACGTCTTCTTTTCTTCCACATGTCGGTTTTGTTCCATCTTTATAAATACTCCTACAAATAAATCTCCTTAATATCTTATCACTACTATACTACAACATTCATATTCTCATAATCACATTCATTCTTCTTCTACACTTCACAAATCACAACTACTATGTCTCGAAAAACATCATTCTACCCTCAAGTTGAATCCACCAATCCAGACGCAAATTCTCCCTTCTCCCATTCATCTTCCTCATCATCCATGTATCCATCAATCACCACTGATAACCTCTCACCAGAATATCCAAAAACTGCACCACAACAACAACCATCAGAACATGTTCTCGTCACTGTCCCCGACGTGATTCTCCATCTCATAGAAAAAGATTCAAGCGTCCACTTAGCTTCCGGCGACTTAACCATAGTAAGCCTTAAAGAAGGAAACAACGTAGCAGCAGTTATAGCTCGCATCGGCGATCAAATCCAATGGCCATTAGCCAAAGACGTTTCAACAGTGAAACTCGACGAGGCCCATTACTTTTTCACACTTAAGGTTCCACAGGGTAATAGTAAAGAAGATATTGAGTCGGAAGTTTTGAACTACGGATTGACGGTTGAAACAAAAGGGCAAGAGAAAGGTTTGGTTTTGAAGGAACTTGATAAGGTTCTTGAAAAGTATAGTTTTCTTTCTGTGGAGAAGGTGAAGGGTGTGAAAGGGTGGGAGGTTTTGGAGAAAAAGGAAGCTTTGGAGGAAAGTTCCGCGGCTGCTTATTGGACAACGTTGGCACCAAACGTGGAGGATTACAGTGGGAGATTTGCTAGATGGATTGCGGCAGGGTCAGGACAAATGATCAGGGGGATTCTGTTTTGTGGAGATGTTACTGTGGAGAGATTGAAATGGGGGAATGATTTCATGAAAAAGAGGTTGCAACCTGGTTCTTCTCAATCACAAATTAGTCCACATGCCATGGCGGGCATGAAAAGGTTCGATATTTTGAAATTTTGCAAGTTTTATATATATGTGAATTCAGTTTGTTTGTTATTTATGTGGGTGTTTTTTCAGGGTTAAGAAGTTGACAAAGATGTCAGAGAAAGTGGCTCTTGGTGTTCTCTCTGGGGTTGTTAAGGTGTCTGGATTCTTTACTAGTTCGGTGGTGAACTCTAAACCAGGGAAGAAGTTATTTAGTCTTCTTCCTGGAGAAATTGTACTTGCTACCCTTGATGGATTCAGTAAGTTAATTTTTATCTTTGACTGTATTAATTAAGTGCTTATTTATTGTTCTTGACTATTGATTCTTTGGCTTTTTGTATATGATGTTCAGATAAGGTGTGTGATGCTGCAGAAGTAGCCGGAAGGAATGTTATGTCCACTTCATCAGTTGTGACCACTGGACTTGTTTCACATAAGTAAGTTTAATTAATTCTCTCTAATTTACTCTTCTCTTCTATGTCGTGATTTCGTATGATTGACCTTTTTTCTTTATTTTATTGTCTGCTTTGGTGATATTAGATATGGAGAACAAGCAGGTGAGGTTACAAATGAAGGACTTGGCGCTGCAGGGCATGCATTTGGTACAGCTTGGGCTGTGTTCAAACTAACGAAGGCACTCAACCCCAAGAGTGTGATCAAACCAACAACAATAGCTAAAGCTGCTGCCCAAGCAAGTTCTACTCAACTGAAGGCTAAAAAATAAGAACTCAATCATGGCAACAAGAGAAGGAGAATCTTCTACTCTTTATACACAGAGAGATATACTAGTTTAATTAGCTTTTTTAATTGATCTTTTTCATCATGTGTATTTTGTAGTTGTTCTGGAAAATGGATTGTATTGTTTTTTTTTACATTTCTACTAGTCTAAAATATAGGCTCTTCAACATGTTTTACATAGGTTGCTTATCAGTTTTGTTTTTATCTGATGTAAAATATCTAAACTGCATGAGTATTTTTCCACTGGTTTACTGCCTTAGGCATAGTAATTGCACATAGATATATATACATTCAAATATGACACATATGCAAACCATAACTTTCATTCTAAAATACGTCTGTTTCCAACAGTTAATGATACAATCAAACACTCCAAAGTGTTCTTTTCACTTAATAACTTGTTTTGAATGGTTTATAAGTCTTGAGATCCAAAACAACCCCAGCAATGGAACCGACAGCAGCTAATATTGAAATGATGAGGCAACACCCACTAAGAATCTGAAGTCCAAGCCACCGATTAGTCCATTTTCCAATCTTTTTCTGTGAGATGTACATGTCTATTGGGAAATAAACTGTTAATGGCCAGAATCCAAAAGCTCCAAGTAATCCAACTACATCATTGAAAAATGGTAATAGCATGGCTATGATGGTTGTCAACAGAACAAAAATAGTCCTCCATATTAAGCGGAAGAAGTTGAGTTTGTACACTCCAATGCAGGGAATTGGTATATCATATTCTGCTGTCACAAACTTGTTTTTTGGCCACTTATGTGCACTCCACTTCTCAACAAATGCAAAAAAGGGCTGGGAAAATACCTAACACAATATAATTTACAGTTAAATTTGATCGACACAGTTAAATTTGATCGACACATAGACACTATGCATGTGTATCGGTGTCGTGTTAGTATCAGACACTAGAGACGCGACACTATGCATGTGTATCGGTGTAGTGTTAGTCTTAGACACTAGAGACATGTTTAATCTGAAGTGTCGTGCTGCATAACAATAAGATAACATGGGCTTAAGAGTAATAAGATATACAATACCTGGTATGCTCCAATTAGGTGCACAACAATTGCAAAGTTGGCAATGTCAAGAAGCCAATAAGGGTCATAGAATCCAAAACCAGTCAATAGATTTCCAGGTACATGATCTCCAAAGGCAGCATAACCCATGCTTCCACACAGTAAATAAAACACTGTAGTAATCGTGATGCTCAACATAGTGGCCTTTTTCATGGTCTTGTGCTCAGCAGGAGGAGATTTTAAGGTGTCCTGTGCAACAAAACAAACATGTTTTACTATGTAACATTGTGCATTCTTTAAAGAAATGTGTATATTATCATGATGTGCCTTATCTGAATTACCTGAATTTCAATGAGGATAACTGAAAAGGAGTATGCAAAAGCCATTGCCCCTAGAGCTTGTAAGCTCCTCCATATTTTCTGTGTGGCAGTGACAGTTCCAGCTGGTGTCATGGTGCCAATACTAATTCCCATCAAGCGACCATGAAAAGTTCTATTTTCTACATGATGAATAATAAGAGTGAGAAGTTGCATAAAAAACAGAACTTTAGTTTCATGATTCTGTATATACATTTCTGCCTGTACCTGCTACTTTGGCCACACCTAAACCCAATCCAACTGCAGAATAAGTGAAAGACATGATAGCTGCTACTATAGATAGCCACCATACTTGATCAAAGTCCGGGATTTGAGAAAATATCACTTCTGCTATACCAAATGCTATCATGTACACATTACTTGACATATGACATGGATCATTTCCATGACTCTCGTGGTAACAATTCGACCTTTTTATGGCCCTAAGAAACAGGCAGAAATGTCAAAACACAGCATAAATACAGTTAACAAAACCAAAAACAAATAATTAATGGCACATACGCTTTAGCAACTCACATCATGCTAACTGAGGCAGCGATAGTGTATCCAATCGCAATTCCAAACAGATTCACATATTGAATCAAACCACAAATTTTAAACTTCTTCCCTCCTGAAACTCAAAAACAATGACACAATCAAATTCCATTGTATATAAATCCACCACACATAACTACATTACAAGTTCTTGATCTCGGTGTTACCTAAGATAGACTTTACTGCATCTGTGTAGGTGTAATTTCTCGGTCCAGCAACAGAATCATCTGTTCTGTAACACTGTGTTAGTAAACTAGAAGTATAGAGATTGATGACCGCGAATAGAAGCATGACAACAGGTCCAACACCCCAACCAAGCTGAGCTATTGCCCATGACAACGAAAGAACTCCCGAGCCTATCACAGCAGTGATGATATGAGCCGTTGCTGTCCAAAATGTTCCTGCAATACAATACAACAATCAATTCATTAGGAATCAAACTCGCTACTAAGTCAAAATGTAAAATATAGTCTAAATTTTGAACCTGTTCTCTTAACGCGACCATCGTCGTCGAAGCACTTGGACTGAATAGTGATTGGTTTAGTCTCAGTTCTGATTTTAGGCAGTGGTTCGAGTTCTATGTAGTGTCTGATATCTTTCCTCTCTTCTGTCTGTAATAGAAAATTAAATATATCAAACATATAAAAGAATTTAAAAAAAGGAATAAAAATTGCTCTTACAACTCCTTGGTAGATTCTGCTAGGAAGAGTTCTACTTCTTGGCAACATTGTTGTTGTTAGTTGAATGTGAATTTGCTGAAAGTGAATTGGGAATTTTATAGGAAAAGTTGATGTGTGTGCATTGTACAACCAACGTACAACACGTTTTCAGTGATAAATGATAGCTAAAACAGTGATATTTTATCATGATTATTGGAGAGGGATAATTTGAGATTGCAATGAATGCTTCTTTGGATGGTTATGAACACGTGGTGGCTTATGAGGAAACAAACAAATCATCACACTTTAACTGTAAGAGTGCATGGGGCCAACTACCAATTTAGATGGTTAAATATGAGCCAACAAAGTTATATCTATCTACCACATGTTCATGGAATTTAGAATGAAAGGGATAAGAAAATGATAACTTTGTGTTATTGCGTTCCAGCATGGAGTTTTTATGTTCTCTTAAGTATAAACCTGATATCCTCAACGCACAATTATAAAGACTAATCTCGAGGACCACAAATAACAATAAAGTTCCCTCTCAAAAAAATTAACAGTTCGTATCCGACTCTTAAGATACATTTGTATTAACAGTTTATTTTTTCAAGTAATTAATCAATTGAAGACAGTGTCGACTATCGACTGATTGGTTGTTAGCAGTAGCAGACGTTGGTGTGGTTCCTTTTCATTATGGTCAGTTAGGTCAATGTTGGAATGTTTTGTTAGTTTGAGAGCTTTATCATGTCCAATCTAGTTAGGACAATCTCATTGCTTAATTGCGCTTACTGTAGAGAAGAGGGATGATGTGTGATGTGAATTGCTGAAACAAAGGTCTGCCTTTATTGTTCTCATAGTTGCACTTAATTGCCGACATTAAGGACAGGAAGGTAATTTTCATATTACCAAGAGATATCATAAATACTAGTGCGATATAAATTGCCGATTGATATACTGAACTAAAATCTGATATGAAATTAAGGAGAAAATAATAAAGAAATTGTATTAATATTATTGTATTATATGGATAAATAATTGTATAATTAGAATATGTGAAATAAATCTAATATTTGATCAATATCTCAAACATTTGTATCAAGTATATGTATACAAAAAATGCACATTACTCAAGAACCAAAACGATAGTTTACTCATCTATAAATATTTTAATGTGATGTCTAAAGTCATATAATGTTAATTAAATTGGTCTTTGCATTAGTATTTGTAGAGATAATAATGTAAGTTGGTAATATCTAATTTTTCAGCTGTAAAATTGCATTATAGTTCAAAGACATTTACAAAATCATAATTATATTAATAATAGGCTTCATGTATGATGCATTGATTCAAGTATTAATTTCAAAAACAGTGAAAATATAGCTCAACATCATGCATGAATTACTATTTTCAAACTTGAAAAATCCAATTACAGTATTATATAAGTCATTTGGAATTTTTTTGAAACACTATCTAATTATGCATTGTATTACTCATGACTATTTTCTCTTGAACACCTCATTAAAGCAATTTGGGATTTCAACCTTCCTAATACAAGCTCAACAAAGTCTTCATTTAAGTTTTTCATCATATGACCATGACCCTATACAAATATAAACCCAAATAATCATTCTTTATGACATTGTAAGAGAAATCATTATTTAAAATTGGCCAAATATAATTGTTAATATATTGAAGCAAGCAAGCATTTCTTTCAAACAAAAATTGTAACAGTTTTTCTATCTACCTTAACAACAATTAAAAATTGAAAAACAGATTGAAAACAATCAATCGTAAAAGATATGGCAGCCATAAGAAAATGAAAGCAAAATTTCAATTCTTTGGTCTGTCTTTAGTTGCAACAGATGCTGTTGTCGCGGCGCAAAAAATACTCAAACACATCATATGTTAGATAATATAACAGAATTGTTGCTGAATTTTATTTATTACAGAAAAAAAAGAAAAATATCGATAAAATCTAAAGGAAAGAAAAACGGATAAGGGAGTCGGTTATGTGAGGAGAAGATATTAGCATCCCTCACACCAGTCGTACTCAATGAGAACCGTTTTGATTGTTCTTTGTATGGATGAATGTTGTTATCTAAAGGTTACTTGCGATTGATTTTAATTAAGGAAAAAAATAAGTTTTTAATTAATGTGTTCGTCAAGGATTCAAAACCTCGTACCTACGTATTCTCATAGTGCAATGAGAAAATCAGAACTATGTAGTTCTTGGTAGAAAATACGGATTTGTTGGTTGTTTTTAAGAAACAATTAAAATCCTAGAAGTGAGTAGACATTAGCTGATTTGATCCTCTTTCGGATGCTTTAAGCTTTTAGTTTGACTGTTAAGGAAGGAATTATAACAGTTCTTTTATAAAAAGAAAGAAAATGTTCGTTTGAAAAGGGTTTGTGTGATAAAAGAAAAGAAAGAGTTGCTTGAATAGAAATAAAGAAAGAAAGAGCTTGAATAGAAAAAGTATTGTGAAATGAAGAAGTATTGCTTAGATGTTGTGGAAGTATTGTTTGGACTAGGAGTGGTGTTGTTAGATCCATAAGGTAGTGTGTCTGAACCAAAGAGTGTGACGTTAACCAGTAGATGGTGTGACTAATGCAAAATTATAGAATTTTTCCTATACCCGGGGATCAAGACCTACAATAGGGGTTTTGCCTAAGCACATAGCTTATATGGCAGAAATGAGATTGACTAAGCACGAAGCTTATAGGGCATGAATGATTTGTCTGAGCACAGAGCTCATAGGGTATGCATGAGTTGTCAGAGCACGAAGCTCTATAGAAAAAAAAAATAAGAGATAAGGTCGGCTCGAGCCCAAAGCTCACATGAAAATGCACGAGGATTGTCAGAGCACATAGCTCTACAGGGCAATGCATGAAGGTTGCCTGAGCATGGAGCTCACATGACAATGCATGAAAAATAAGAAGGGTATTTTAACCATATAGGTGATTAACCCAAAGAGAGGGGTCTGGTTCAGAGATGAGCGATTAACCCAAAGAAAGTATGGAAGTCCAAATAATGTAGTGTTTGGTTCAAAGAAAATAGTATTGTTGATGTTGATTGTTGAACTGTTGTCTGTGGAGAATATGACTTTAAAGTTACTTGACTTGAATTGTACTAAAGTCTACGAACGAAGGCAAATACTTTGAATAACTGAGGCCTACATTCCGTATTCAAAGATACTTAGAATAAGGGTAGGAATAATCCCTCTCATCATTTTCTTTTTCTTAAGACTCGTGCCACACAATTCACATTGTAACTGATAAAAGTTGAAAGAAGATTTTTTTTGTGTGCTTGAAAGATGAAACAATGATCTAGTCCTGATGTCCAAAGTCTTCAATGTCTTTGATGTATGCAGTCTTGAACTTGAGTGTGACTTGAAATCCAGTGCAGTGCAAATACAAAAGTCTAACTTAATCAAGTGATAAAGGGACTTATGATCACTTGTTTGGATAGAAAAAAGAGATAATGGTACAGACATGTGATTAATTGATCAAAGATGACTTTGATTAACCAATCATTCAAGTACAAAGATCATGTTAAAGATATTTCAAGCACATAAATTTGATTAAGGACTAAAGCCTAAAAAATAAAAAAGATTAACATGCATATTAATTTTTAAAGAATTTAATTTTAAATATTAAATAGAATTAATTCTAAAATTAAATCTACTTAATCCTAGAGTTTTAACATGTAGTATTTTTCTTATTTCAATTAAAAAGGTGTATTAATAAAACTAATATTCAATTAATTTCATATTAAAATCTAAGTACTAAACATTAATTTTTATGGAGGGATGGTGTAACTGATTCGGTCAGAGATTGGGGCAGGTTGTTGAAGGTTTGGGTAACGGTTATGGTTAGTTGAATCAAGGAGATAATTAGTTAGAGAAGTTTAACAATGTTAGGGTTCTGTTAGAGTTAGTTGTTAGAAGTTGGAATTTCAGTTAGTTATGTTAGTTAAGTGAGTTCAGTTAGTGAAGAGTTAGGTGCACTTAGTCATAATGAATTGATGTTAGTGATTTAGATGAGTGAACTAGGTTAGTTTGAAGACTTGAATTGATAACTGTTACGAATTATTGTGGACTGTGAGGTTGTTAGTAGTGTTTAATTTGGTTAGTTAAAATTGAAGTTAATGAGAAACCGTTAGTGAAGTTGCCAGTTATAGTTATGGAGGTTGTGAATTAGTGTTAGGAATTAATTATTGTTAGTTGTTAAGTTTGGGGACTGTTAGAGGAATTGAAGCATGAGTGAGGTTGGGGAATTTGGATTGTGAGGTGGTGTTAGTTGAATTCGAATTAGTGAATAAAAGTAATGTTGTTAGTTAGTGAATGGATTAGGAAATGTTATTAATTGTTAGTAGCCGTTAGAGGGTTGTTAGATGAATGCTATTATGTTAGTATGTTTATGCTATGAAATGTTCATGGAACATGGTGAAATGTCTTGGATTAGCTATTCATTGTTGTTTTGAAAATGGAATGGTTATGACATTTAGCTTAAAACTTTGAAGTTAGTAGGTTCCTAGTGTTATGTTAATGAATGATTTGAGTTTAGAAAGATTAACAATTAATGTTAGTTAGATGTTGAATTGATGTGGAACTATTTGTGTTAGTGTTTGAGTCAATTAAAATCATTGCATCAATTTGTAATTTGGTTATGTGAGTGAAGTGTATTATAGGGGTGTGCATGGATGATTAATGTTCATAACTAATTCATAACCATAAATAATTCATATGTTATAACCGGTTATTAAAACCAATTCTCATAATCGATTTTTATTTTTTAAAATGGTTATAAACCGGTTATATCCATAACCAATTTTATAATTAGTTTTGAATTAATTTTATTTTAAAATTGATTTTTTCAAAATCATAATATTTTTTTTAAAAAAATATTGATGTTAAAAAAAAACAATAGTTATTTTAAAATTTTAAAAATAAATAATATTTTAAAATTTTTTGGAAAAAAATTTTATTTACTGAAAAAAATTAAAACAATATTTTTTTTAAAATAAAAATATTTTTTTTGAAAAAAATTTGCAAAGTTTTTTTTTT